GGTTTCCTGTCTCTCTCTACTTTCCTTCTTTTCCTGTCTCCGGAGTACCTGGCGCTGTGTGCCATGTCTGCCCATTCTAGACGGGCTGTGCCTTGCAGCTTGGAAGCCACTTCCCCAGTCTGTGCCACCATGCTGGGGGGATCTCTGGGGCATTTTTTTTTTTATCTTTTTCTTTTTTCCTTATTGTTTTTCTTCATGTCTCAATTTGTTGTCTATCTCTACTTTCCTTCTTTTCCTGTCTCCTGAATACCTGGTGCTGTATACTATCTCCATCCCTCTAGACAGGCTGTGCAGTGTCTAGCAGCTTGGGAGCCACTTTCCAAGTCTGCACTGCCAAGCCAGTGGGCTCCTTTGGGAATTAGTTTTTCTTTTTTCTCTCTGTCTACCATCTTTCTTCTTTTTTCCTGAACACCTGGCAACGTGTGCCATCTCTGCTCCTTCTAGACGGGCTGTGCAGTGCTGCAGGGCTGGGGAGCCACTTCCTCGGTCCATGCCACCGCACCAGTGGGCTCCCTCGGGACATCTTTTTTTTTTTTCCCTTTCTCTCTTCTTTTCTTTTCTCCAGTTCTTCTCTCCCTCTACCTTCCTTCCTTACCCTTCTCCTGAACACGTGGCACCGTGTGCCATCTCCACTCCTTCTTGACGGGCTGCACAGTGCCACTAGGTCGGGGACCCACTTCCAGTGGGCTCCCTTGGAGTATTGTTTTTCTTTATTTCCCTTATTCTTTTTTTTCTCGGTTTCTTGTCTTTCTCTACATTCCTTCCATTCTTTTATCCTGACCACCTAGCCACGTGTGCCTTTCTCTCTCCTTTTTCTCTCTCTCTCCCTTCCTTCCTTTCTTCCATCCATCTAGCTGTGTGTGCCATATCTGTCCCTTCTTGATGGGCTGTGCCTCACTGCCTGGCTAGAAAGCCACTGGCACATGGCTTCCCAGGGTCTGCACCACTCCAATGGCAGGTTCCGTCAGCACTTTTTTTTTTGGAGCGCTTAGCTCCACACAGCACAACCTCAACCCTCCCTATCTGTACTGTGTGCTGAACATCACACCCCCGAGCAGTACAGACATGGTTTACTGATCCTGCCCTTCAATGACCCCTGGCCCCGCCCTGTCGGCCCACCTACATGTCACAAACAACCCACCCCAGCCCCACCCCTTCCACTGGAGCTGCCCTGCTGCACCATAGCTGAGTGACTGGCCCTGCCCATTGGACAAGGTGGTGAGAAGTATCGTGCCCAAAGGCCCACCTGCTCAGACACAACCAAATAAAACAAAAAAACAGGATGAAACAAACAAATCTAAAATCAATAAACAAAGAAAATAACTACTGAATGTCCCGAAGACAGCAGACAATATCAAAACATATTAAAAAAACAGGACAGGATGGTTCCAGAAGGTCAAAATACCAGATGACCTTCCAGTAGAAGAAAAGGCACTGGAACTACCTGATAGGGAATTCAAATCTCTAATACTGAGAGCTATCCAAGAGTTGAAGGAAAAAGCAAACAAAAATGAGGAAAAAACAGACAAAATCGTGGAAAAGACAGACAAGACGATGGAAAAATTCAGGAAAATAATACAGGAAGAAAATGTCAAAATAAATTCACAACTAGTAAACATACAAAAACAGCAATTAGAAACCTGAAAGATAAACAACAAGATTTCAGAAATGGACAGTGTCATAGAAGGTCTGAGGAACAGGTTTGAAACAATGGAAGACAGAATCGGCGAAACTGAAGACAAATACTTGGACATCACTTCGCTTGAGGAAAAATCAGAAAAAGGATGAAGAAAAATGAAGAAACCCTGAGAACTAAGTGGGATAAAATCAAAAGCAAAAATCCGCGAGTGATCAGTGTTACAGAACAGGGGGAGAAAACAGAAAATACAGGGAGGATCACTGAAGAATTGCTGATAGAAAACTTCCCTAATATCATGAAAGATGAAAAGCTGACCATCAAAGAAGCTCAATGAACCCCATACAGAATAGACCCCAAAAGAAAATCACCAAGGCATATGATAATCACACTTGCTAAAACCAAAGACAAAGAAAGAATCCTGAGAGCAGCTTGAGAAAAACGAAAAGTCACATACAGAGGGGAAACAATAAGACTAAGGTCTGATTACTCCGCAGAGACCACGCAGGCAAGAAGCCAATGGGATGACATATATAAAACCTTGAAAGAAAAAAATTGCCAGCCACGAATAATATATCCTGCAAAACTATCGTTCAAATATGATAATGAAATTAGAACACTTCCAGAGAAGTGGAAATTAAGGTAATATGTAAAAACCAAACCAAACTTACAAGAATTATTACAGGGAGTCCTTCAGTTTGAGAACAAACAACAGCAGATGACAGCCTCAATATAGGACGCAAGACTGTACCAGCCAGATACCAAGCTAGGTAATGAACTCTCAAGGATTGATCAAAACTAAAAGATTTACAACAGGGAATCAGAGAGGTTAATCTGTAAATGACAACAATGTCAGAACAATAAAAGAGGGAATAAACGGTGTAGGCATAGACCTTCTAATGGAGAGGAAGGCAAGGTGATACCAAGTAATAACAGACTGGTTCAAACCTAGGAAGATAAGGGTAAATTTCAAGGTAACCACAAAGAAAGTTAACAAACCCACTCATCAAAATAAAGAAGAAAAACATAAAGTCTCGGTAAATACAAAATCTACAAAAACAAACAAAATGAAAAAAAAACCCAAAAGGAATTCAGCCAGCACAGGAGAGTAACAGGAACAAAGAAAATGTCAGCGCCACAAAAAAAAAGCACTACAAAGTGACAGCAATAAACTCACATCTATCAATAATGACACTGAACGTAAACGGCCTAAATGCACCCATAAAGAGACAGACAGTGACAGAATGGATAAAAAAACAGGATCCATCAATATGCTATCTACAAGAGACACATCTTAGAAACGAAGACATAAATTTATTAAAAATCAAAGGATGGAAAAAAATATATCAAGCAAACAGCTACCAAAAAAGAGTAGGAGTGGAAATACTAATCTCAGATAAAATAGACTTTAAAACAAAATCCACCATAAAAGACAAAGAAGGGCATTATATAATGATTAAAGGGACAATCCATCATGAAGACATAACCATAATAAATATTGATGCACCCAATGACAGGGCTCCAAAATATATAAAACAAACTCTAATGGCACTGAAAAGAGAAATTGACAGTTCCACAATAATAGTAGGAGACTTCAACACATCACTCTCGGTAAAGGATAGAGCATCTAGAAAGAAACTCAACAAACATACAGAAGATCTAAAGGCCACAATTTGCCAACTTGACCTCACAGACATATATAGAACACACCACCCAACAGCGGCAAAGTACACATTCTTTTCCAACGCACATGGAACGTTATCCAGAATAGACCACATCTTAGGTCAAAAAGCAACCCTCAACAAAATCCAAAACACTGAGATAATACAAAGTATCTTCTTTGATCACAATGTCATCAAAGTAGAAATTAGTAACAGGAAGAGCAAGGAAAAAAAATCAATTACATTGAAACTGAATAACAGAAGAAATCAAAGATAGAATCAAAAAATTCCTAGAATCAAACGAGAATGAAAACACATCATACCAAAACCTCTGGGACACAGCAAAGGCAGTGCTCAGAGGTCAATTTACAGCAATAGATGCACACATCCAAGAAGAAGAAAGGGACAAAACCAAAACATTAGCTACACAACTTGAACAAACAGGAAAAAAACAGCTAAAGAAGCCCACAACCACCAGAAGAAAGGAAATAATAAAGATCAGAGCAGAAATAAATGAAATAGAGAATAGAAGAACAGCAGAAAGAATCAACAAAACCAAAGGTTGGTTCTTTGAAAGGATCAACAAAATCGACAAACCACTGGCCAAATTGACAAAAGAAAAACAGGATAGGACGCAAATAACCCAAATGAGAAATGAAATGGGGGACATTATAATAGACCCAACTGAAATAAAAAGGATCATAACAGAGTACTATGAAAAACTATACTCTTAACAAATTTGAAAACCTAGAGGAAATGGACAAATTTCTAGAAACACACTACCTACCCAAACAAACACAAAATGATGTTAAAAATATGAACAAACCCGTAACAAGAGAAGAGATTGAAAACGTAATAAAAAAAACTCCCATCAAATATGGAATTGCTCTCAATATTCAGGGACAGGCAGGACTAGAGTGAAAAAAGTGAGCCATCTAGAGAACAAAATTTAAAGTGGCACCCACCCCATACTTACACAATCGTGACAGTGAGTAGTAGCTCTTTAAATTTTGCGCCCTATGGGTCTTGCTTCCCACAACATAGTTCAAGCCCGAATATCACTTCAGTATATTTGTGAATGAATGTTCAAAGGAAAATTTACCTTTATTCTCAAATTTTTTTTTCAGAAGGGTACTTTTTATGCTTTGGTTCAAAAGGGTTTAAGAAAGAATTTAGTTCTACATACTTAATACTTCATCAGTTATCTCCACTAAGAATTCCAAAATAACTATCCAAGTGTGTACATGGTATTTGAGGATGTGAGGGAAGACACTCTTGTTCCTAAAGTACTTTCTCTGTTGCTGATTAACAGAAAAAATAAACTGTTCAAATTCTTCTTAAGCCTTACATGGAAATTTTTTACACTTAAATAACTTTAACTATTAAAATGACAATTTATAAGCAAGAGAATCATTACTCTAAACTCTGGGGAAAAAAAAAAATTCCCTGCTGAAGTAATTTAGGTAAACAAACTCATTTGCATAAGGGTTACTTTTTCCTCCTCTTGTTAAATCCTCAATCCAAAAGGAAAAACAAACAGAATTCTAAATCAAATTTAAAGAGATGATTTAAGTATTAGAATGCTTCCAAAACACAAAGGTAATTAAACACAAATCTTAAGAATTTTAGCTTTTGAAGAAAGCACTGATTAAAAGATAGAAAACCTCTTCCAATTTTGCTTATTAAAAGAAAATAATTCTTACCAGATAAAGCAGAAAGGTGTGCAGCCCTGTTCCAAGCCCAACAGAAGACAAAATTCCTAAGCCTATCCAGTAGGCATACAAAAGAAATTGTTTCTCTATGCGTCGTACATACTGAAAAACAAAAAGGTGAAAAAAAAATCTGAATTCTCTAAACAGCAATGTGGTATTTAAAAGCAACCATCAAAATAGCATAGAAGTTCCAAATAGGAAGAAAACATTAAGATTAAAAATCCACTGAAGAGGCCTAATTCCTTCATTAATATGCAATGGCAGAGATGGGCAAAAAATGTGTCCAACTGGAATAAAGGTTTTGTTTCTAAACTTTTAAAGTCCTACTGTTGTGCTAATATTTACAGGACAAAAGCAAATTACTAACAAGAAAACTATGAGAATAAAAATTTTAAAGGTATTAAAGTTACAAAATCTTTGTTTAAAAAAGCATGACAATACTCAGTGGTAACAGCTGAGCAGTTATTAACATAAGGTTTGTGAAAAGAATACATTCTTGATTATTCAGTCCAAATGGGGATTTATTTCTAGATTCCAGCTTTGGTAAGTAAAGTCAGCAAGCCAGTTCACTGCAAACTCTTAATAGCCCGCATAGACTTCTTAAAAATATAGAAAAGGAATGCATTTAAAACTATAAATAAAATTCTGACTAGAGATAAACTGATTTAAAATACGAAATATCATATAATTTTAGAACTACATGCTATCAGAAGACACTGATGATTTGCTATTTTAATAAAAGTGCTTGACAAAATGTTCTTTTTTCCCCTCAGTAATGTTCTACTTACAGACTACAAGCAAATGAACTTGCCTTTTTAACATTAAGATACTAGTTATAAGATAAATTAAAACACGAAGCCAAGCCTAAGTATGTTGAAGGCAGAAATTCTACAAAACCCACAATAGTCCCATTTTTAAACTATTTGGGACTGGGGAAGGTACAAGAACAGAAACTGAGTTGCTGAACTGCTTACCTGCTGATGTGCTCCTTCAACATAATACGTAGCTATAAGCACAGCAAGCAGTAGTAAAAAAGACACCACAATGCTTTGACGATGCCATAATCTTAAAAATAAACAAACAAAAAAAAAAAACAAATGAAGAAATACTTTGCAGTCTCATTTTCAGGATTCATCACTCTCAAAATACTTTCTTGTTGAAGCAGCTGGGTTATCTAGCCTAGCAACAGAATCAGTTCTTTCTAGGCTGAGCTCTTAACCCTTTTGTACTTAAAAACTGTAACACTCAGCCTCTGAGGGAGGGGGATGCAGAGGGAGGTCAAGGAAAAGTGCATGGGCACAGAACCCAATTTCTTATCAAAAATCTCACCAAAGTCATTCCCTTATACAAAGATCCATCTCGGTTATACCACAGTTTCTAATTTGGAGAGCATTATAGTGTAATGAAAACGGCACTGGCCTTTATGTCAGAGGACCTGGGTCGGAGTCCCTTAAATATTGCCCTTCGAGCAGTCCATTTAACCAATGATTGTGTTTCTTGTCTTTAAAATCATAATAATCATATACCTACTTTACCTTCTTTATAGAGTTGCTGAGAGGATCAAATGAGCCGAAAAATGTTGTAAAATGCCTTATGAACCCTAAACTACAGATAATAACTTGGAAGTGCAAGCCAGAAAATGACAAGGCATGTAAAAGTTCAACTTGCTCTTTTAAAGAGAACACATTTCCATGGCAGAGTCCTCTTCCATTGGCTCAAACTAACAGTAAAAGTGCCGTGTATCCTGAACCTTGTCCTGCTAAACAATCAGTGTAACTAATGTACACAGGCTTGATTTCTCGGGAAGGTGAAGCCAGGAGAAAAAAAAAAATCTTGTTTTTAGTGTTCTTTGCATAAAAGATTCAACATAAAACACTGGTCAACTGTAACAATCCAGTGAGCAAACAGCAATACTTTTCCCTAATCTACTTTGTTTCAAACTACAGAAAGGAGAATATATATATTTCTATGGTAATATTTTACATGAAATAATCTATTTGGATGGAGGAGGTTGCAGAGGGTGGGAGATTACTGAGGCGTTCTAAAATTAGTAAAGAAAATTTATATAAAAGGTAATGGAAGAGTCTTTACTTTGAGGTCCATTCCTTCAAGATTACGAGGATTTCCAGAAAAAAATACTGCAAGGTAATAAGTGGCTGTCTCCACAGGACAATGTTCTGCCTTTCTTCCCGATCCCTCCTCTTCTTTTCATTCATTGAAGAAGGGTCTGAAAAACAACAGTGCAGAAGTTAAATCAGAATTTCTAACATTTATGTTCATTCTTTCCAGGCACTTTCAAAATTAATCCACCTTTCCACATCTGAAAGAACACATATAAATCTCAAACATTCAAACAATGTGATTCAAATCTGGGTCATGCAAGTTTAAACAGTTCAAGTATTAACCTGAGATTACCCCTTCTCTAGAGGAGGCAACCCTTGGAACACAATTCTAATTAATTAACACAGGTGGCCCAATACAAGTGTGCCTGAAATCTGCAATAGAAAGCCCAGAATTGTGGTGTGTCCCCATCACTTAAGCTTCCATGGTAATTAATTTATCCGTATATCTGCCTACCTCTTTCCTTTCTATTAGTGGCAATCTTGCAGGTTACTATTTTTGAAGGCACTGTTGGAGAGAGATGGTACGATGTACTAGCGCTTAGATGCATACTGCATGAAAACAGAATCTTACCCATGCACCAACTAACCACTCACATCATGTCCTAGAACACTGGGAAGTGGCAACTAATCCATACTCAGAAACACCTTAGTGGCTTAAGGAGATGAATTATCATAGCTGCTACTTTTAATCAGTGTGACCTAGAGAACAATTGAGGCAAAAAAGTTTGATCTTTGCCACCTCCCTGAACTGGGGGATATGAGATCATTATGCAAAAGATGTTCTAAAGGAATGGTACTGAAACTTTCGGCAGTCGAATCTGAGGTAGAACTATAGCTTTGGGGAAGATGATGAGTCTGGGCTAGATGCTTCTACCCTACTCTTCTTGCAGTTATTTCATTGTTAGAACACAGTTTTCTACTCTTGTACAATTACAGGCGTAAATCTAAATTGGTCCAACTTCTATGAAGGGCAAAGTGGTTTAGGGCTCAAAATGTGGAGGCAAGCTAGCTGGTTCCAAATCCTGGCTCTGCCACCTACCAGCCATGTGACTTTAGGCAAGTCAGTGAACTTTCCTGTGCCTCAATTTTCTCTACTGTAAAATGGAGGTAACAATGGTACTTACTTTTAGAGTCACTGTAATGACTGAGTTAACATATGTAAAGCTCCCAGAAGAGTTTGACAGTAAGTGCCCAATTAAGGTTAGTTATTATCATCTATCAAAATTATAAATGCACATACACTGTAGCCTAATAATTCCATTTCTTGGAATATATTTTACAGATATACTTTCGTACGAGTAGAATGACTTTTGTACAAGTTTATTCACTGCAGCATTATTTTTAATAGCAAAGGATTATAAACAACTTAAATGTTATCAACAGAGGACAGAGGCATGATTAAATAAAGTATGGTACACTCATACAATGGAATACTACACAGCTGTTATAAAAAAATAAGTTCTTCAAGTAGTTATAGCACAATCTCCGAGAAATACTAAGTAAAAAAACATGGTATAGAAGAGTAAGCATGACATGCTAATACAATGAAACCTGTGAGAGCCGGAACTTGACGGGACTGCTTTGTTTTCCAGTTTTCCGCCTTCGACAGGGTGCAGGCTTACCACTTTTCTATCACTCACTATTAGTGGAAAATATTTTAGTTTTCCTTCTCTGGCAGGTTTTCGCCTTACAAAGGTTCCAGCTTTCACAGGTTTCACTGTATTAATGTAAAATGCAGGGGAGGGGGAAGAGGAAGAATGTACAAATGTAGGTGCTTGCTGAAAGAAAGAACAAATAATGCGCAAAAGCTCCCAGTGGGAAGAGACTGTGACGTATGCGATGCCTATTCCAGAACACTCAAAATGCTTAATGAATATTGTTTGATGACAATTTCTTCATCTTGAAAACTTTAAAGGGTAGAGTAGAAACACATAAAAACATTGACTCTGTATGGAATATAGATGTCTTAATTCCAATGTATTTTCAGCTGAGGGACAAAAAGACCTTTTTTCATCTTCCAATTGAAGTTTTTTCATCCTATACTTGAGGCAGTCAATAAAAATAAAAAGCACTAATGACGGTTTACATAGGCTCTGAGTTCAACTCAAGGTGAAACAATCTAAAATTTATCGAAGATCAAAGTAACTCAAAAGTCACATCAGTGCAACAAAACGTCTTCTTGTAGGCAATGCAGTGATTCAAACAACAGAAACTATTTCAGACAGCTTGCATGTCTTCCAACAGAAGATAGTTTCTGTGATGTAATAATACTATGCTGGAGTATTACTTGCAATGCTTTTGAAATACAAAACAATTTAGAAGTTAAAAAGAAAACCATTACAATTAGCAAAAAAGAAAAATCTTTCATTTTCCTTTCAACACAATAAGGAAAGTTCCTATTTAAATCATCCCCATCAATAAAAGTCATAATTTTTGTGGTACATGTATACATAAGAGTCAAATATACTAAAAAAATTACTACAAATTCCAAATTTGCTTAAATATAAAAATTTATTCATCTCAAACTAAAATTGTTAAATAAATCTACACCAATCACACTGCTGACATTTTGGAAAACTGTGTATTTAGGAATAGTGCAATAAGTAAAATTATAATCTACTTCTAAAGTTACAAACTGGCATAATAAAATTGAACACCGAACAAAGCCTATTAAATACTTACCATACCATAAGGTTAAAAAAGTAATAACCTTGCACCTAGAACATTGCTGATGTGACTGTGGCCAGGCTGCTTGTTATCACGGTGAAAAATCATTTTATAGGCTCTGACCAATAATTTAACTTCCTATGAAGATATTATCAAAAGATAATGAATATCAGAAGTATGGGTAGTCACCGACTTACGACCGATTGAAGTTTCGGTGAAACGCACATACAACCAACCGTCTGTCCTTTTTTGGTACATCTTATTGTTAGTAATATGCTGCAGCATGTAATTTGCTGATGTTATCATTCTCAGATGGTCACTCAATTCTATGACTTACTGTTCAAAACACTGCCAGATTTATAAAGTTACTGATAATAAAAGGCAATAATAACGAAAACCAAAAGAAAAAAAAAATGAGGTATTTGACTTATACTACAACTGACTTATGACACAGTAGTCATATGAACTTCTTGTTAAGTCGGGGACTACTTGTAATGGATTTCTATTTTATTCCAATGAAAAGTGTATCCTTTAAACCAGCAGATCTCCTCTCCAAGCCATCATACTTTACCTGTGAAACTTCCATTATGTTGCTCCTTGTTCATTGCTACATGTCTCTGGTCACAACTTTTTCCATTCTCTGCCATTTCATAGATCAGTAACTCTTGAGGAGCTAAAAAAAGGTGGAGAGTGGGACAGAAAAACTCAGCCATATGTTACATATTCCTGCTTTGCAGCTATAACTGAATAAAACTGAATACAGGAATACCATGGCAGTAACACACCCACATGCTATTTGTATATTTACACTTTTTTCTTTTATAACCAAGATAAAACAGTATTCTTTCTTTTGCTTTTTTCTGTTGTTGTTGTTGAGAATACACACAGCAGAACATACACCAGAACAATTTCTATATGTATAATTCAGTGACACTGATTACACTCTTCAAGCTGTGCAACCCTTCACACATTCTTTTTCCAAATTGTTTCTCCCCCATTAACATATGCTCACTGCCCCTTAAGGTTCCTATCTAATCTTTAGAGTTGCTGTTGTCAATTTGACCCCTGATAGCTCTTAAAGGAGCACAATGCTCAAGGCAGACATTCTTTACTAGTTAAGCTGAACTATTGTTTGGTTTTAAGAAGACTTCAGAGGATGTTTTTGGTGTAAGGTTTAAAGATTATCTCAGGGCAATAGTTTTGGGGGTTCATTTAGCCTCTAGGGCTCCAAAAAGCCTGGATTCCATGGCAATTTGAAATTCTGTTCAGCATTTTCTCCCTTTTGATCAGAATTCTTCTACAGAAATTTTGATCAAAATGCTCAGTAATAGTAGCCAGGCACCATACAGTTCTTCAGGACTCGTGATAAAGGAAGCAGTTGTTCATGGAGGCAATTAGCCACATAGTCCATTTCTTCCTCCTATTCCTGATTATCCTTCTTCGTCTTTTGCTCCAGGAGAACAGAGACCAATTGCTGTGCCTTGGATGGCTACTTGCAAGGTTTTAAGACCCCAGGCACTACGCAATGAACTGGGAGGTAGAACAGAAGCACTAAACACATTATTAGGCCAATTAACTGGGATGTCCCATGAAACTATGACCTTAAACCTTCAAACCAAATCCCAGGAGGTATTTGGTTGTACATAAGCAGCCTCAGCAGCTGATCTTTTTGCTGTTGTTGTAAACATATCACATAATGTTTGCCAAGTTAACTTTTTATAGGTGTACAACTTATTGACAACAGCATAGAATTCTTAACACAAGTAGTAAAAACCTAAAAGCCATGTAGTAGTAACCCTTTTCCAAACAGTCTATTGATTTCTCAGCTTAAAATTTGGAGGTAATTTGTCCATAGGAGGATATCAAGTACTAGCATCTTAAATTACTGATAAGTTTAAGGTCTAGTGTTCTTCTAGTTAATGATTTAATATCATACACACTATTCAAATTTTTCTAGTCTTTCCCAGCCCTTTTAATATCATTAGGAAAAAAGATTATAATACCAAAGATGTCACCAATGGTGACATACATATCCAGGACCACAGAGTAGTTTTATTTAAGAAACAATTCTACTGAAAAAAACAAAAAACATATATGTGTGTATGTATATATACATATATATATACATATGGCATAGAAGATAAAAATTTTTAGATGTTTAAGATTTTAAATACACTGTATATCATGCTTCATATTATAGATATAAATGTTTGTATTTTAAATCACTGTAATACAACATACAAATTCTGCTCACATTAATTATTCTATACAAAAACACCATATTGCCTGTGACTGTGAATAGGATTGCTCAGGTGTTAGTAAAGCAAATCTTCCCACTCAAAAACAGCATCACTTCAACAAAGGCTATAATGCTGAGTCCTAGATACATAACTAAAACTTGACAGACTTTTAATGAGAAACAATCATCATTATCAAAATTAAAACTTTGGCGCTTCAAAGACACCATCTAGAAAGTGAAAAGACAACTCACAGAATGGGAGAAAACATTTGCAAATCATATACTTAATAAGGAAATTGTATCTGTAATATATAAAGAACCCTTACAACTCAATAATAAAGACAATCCAATTAAAAAATGGACAGAGGATCTGAGTAGACATTTCTCCAAAGAAACTATACAAATGGACAATAAGCACATGAAAAAGTGTTCAACATAATTAGCCACCAAAGAAATGACAAATCAAAACCACAATGATTCAACTTCACATCCATAAGGACAGCTGTAATCAAAAACACAGATAATAGTGTTAGTAAGGATGTAAACAAACTGGAATCCTCATACACTGCTGATGGGAATGTAAAACAGTGCAGTTACGTTTCAAAAAGTCTGGCAGTTCCTCAAAATGTTAAACATAGAGTTAATGAGTTAATATATGACTTTGCAATTCCACTTCTAGGTGTATATACCTAGAAGGTATATACCTAAGAGAAAAAAATTTACGTCTACACAAAATCTTGCATACAAATGTTCATGGCAGCATTTTTTTTTTAATAGCCCCGAAGCGGAAACAACCCCCGTCAGCAGATGAATGAACATATACAATGTGGTATATCCATACAATGAGCCCTGGTGGCACAATGGTTAAAGCAATGGACTGCTAACTGAAAGGTCGTCAGTTCGAAACCAGCAGTGGCTCCATGACAGAAAGATGTGGCAGTCTCCTTCCATAAGAGATTTACAGCCTTGGAAACCCTATGGGGTCGCTACGAGTCGGGATTGACTGGACGGCAGTGAGTTTGGTTTAGTTCATATCCATACAATGGAATACTATTCAGACATAAAAAGAAATGAAGTACTCACACACACTATAACATGGATGAACCTTGAAAATATTATACGCAAAAGAAGGCAGTCACGAAAAGACTACATATTACATGATTCCAATTATATGAAATCTCCAGAATAGGCAAATTCATAAACACAGAACGTATATTAGTGGTTGCCTAGGGCTAGGGGGATTCAAGGGAAATGGGGAGTGGCTGTTGACAAGTACTGGGTTTCTTTTGGGGGTGATGAAAATGTCACAAAATTGATTGTGGTGATGACTGCACAACTGTGAGTACACTAAAAACCAGTGAATTGTACAGTTTAGGGTGGTGAATTGTATGGTATGTGAATTATGTCTCAATAAAGCTGATTAAAAAAAAAAGAAATAGTCATCAGCTGGAAGCATCAAAACCTGTAAACATATTTACAGAAAAAGAATAGCATTCTTTGAACTCTAGGAGTCTTTCATTATCTTTATATTTAACAGGAGCCCCAAGCTTAAGAGTATGCTAATGACCAAATAGTTTAAATTTTTTCTGTTTTACCAGCTGATTCAGTGACAGCTCATATTTTTGAGTTACAGAGTTACACCGTTAAGAAACCAAACTCAAGAAATCACTGTATTAAAAAAAAAAAAACCAAACTTGTTGCCGTCGAGTTGATTCCGACTCATAGCAACCATTCATCCAATCATTCAACAAATATTATCTGAATACTCTGTATGTGCCAGAAATCATGCTAGACTTGTATTCAGCAGATTAGAATATAATATGGTCACAGATTCAATCTTTCTGTAATTTAGATGGTGCTATTTTATTCCTTGACTAAACTCTTAACTCAAATCCCTATTTCCAAAATTTATGCCTCATTAAGGAAAACAAGTGAGAAGGTGTATAAATAGACTATGAACGCAGAATACACATTCATCACTCAAACAGACAGTCCCTTCTTTTAGACATAATCCATTTACGGATACCTGTTTTGTTGTCTTCATTTCTCAATAAGCAAATAAAGCATAGGTTTTCATTAGCATATATTGCCCTGGACTAGATGATTAGAAAATTTAAAGTCAGAAATTCTAGATTTGCCACTAACTAGTTGTGTGACCTTGAGCAAGTCTCATTTTCTCTTGGCCTTGATCTCCAGAGTCCACAAAATGAGAGCAATAATTCCCACTTTCAAAAGATAGATGTGAAGATGAAATAGTGTTTGTGTGTGTATGCGCATGTATATATAACTATAAAGAGCAATACATCAAAGTAGTAGGAGGTATATGAAGCAGTAAACTCAGAACTGCCTATACTAGAAAAACAACTTCACAGCACAAGCCCCGCCAGTATGTCAGTGTTGTTTATTTAACAAACATTTAAAAAATACTGGGATCTGTAATGGACACTATCCTTAAGAAGCTCACAGTCTAATAGGGAAGCCAGATAAGCACAAGAAATCAATTAAAATAGAATGAAGTAGGTGTAATAAAATCAATAAATTTTATTAGACTGGAAGACTTTGTATTAATGCAAAGGAAACAGGTTTTAGAGTCTAAGAGATTTGCGTTCAAATCCAAGCTTCACAAGCAAATATTTTATGAGCTTGGAGAAGTTTCTAAATCTCTCTAAACATCAGCTTCTTTGATCTGTATGGCAATGTGTATAATATACTAATACACTGTCTCCCCTTGGTATGAATTCAATATATACTAGCTATAATGATGAAGAAGAAAGTAACCATGGGAACTCCGAGGACCATACATTCAGAAGAGTGCAAAGATGCTGAAAGTTTGATTCTGCAATTTAAGTCACAGTTTTGTGCAGATGTAAAAAGACAATGTTGATCAAGCAATTTCACAAAAAGAAACATGAAGTTATTTTGTGAAAATCTGTAAGATGAGAGCATCAAAATAGGTTCGCGAAATATAAATCTATTCCACAAATCTGTACTTTTTGGGTTTTATTAATAAAATCAACAGAGGATGTTTGAAATGGAAATGGAACATGTAATAAAGGATTAAAGATTTTCCACCTCCCAGCCATTTAACTTAAGTTCTAGAAATACTTAAAATGTGTCGGTTCATATTCAGTGAAATCTATAGGCAATTCCTTTCAGAGATGAACATTCACCTAAATCACAATAAATAAAATTTAACTAATTTGTGGTAAGAAGATGAACAGGGCACAAAAGGACTTGTATTATAAAGAAAATGTTCTAAAACCTTTCCTCCTGCAAAACACTCTTATTTTTCCCTATTTGCTCTTTCTCAAAGTGTCATCTTCAAGAGAGAAAAGAGTTTTATCCAAAACAATTTGGGTCCATTGGAGTTCTTCCTTATAACAATGGTATTATGCAATTATTTGAAGTTTTTGTTTTTAAGATATTTCAACAGA